TAAAATTTTTAATTTAAATTTAGATGTAATTTTATATAAGTCTTTTATTGTAATAAAAAAATTAGATATGATTATTTTTAAAAGTTTTTTACTATAGTAAAATTTAAATTTTAAACTCGAATTGGTGAAATGAATGAAGATTATGCGGGAGTTGAAAAAATAAATGTCTAAAAATTGTGATTATTTATACATAATTCTGTAAAATAACCGGTAATGAAATTTCTATTCTTTGTCAACAACCCACACAAAAAGAATATATTTGAAATAATATTATCTTAATAACCATAAAATATACAGACTAATAATATTGTTAAATTAAAGACAAATTCTGGAGTATAAAAGTGATCGTTTGTTCTTACAAATTTTCCATCATAATATTCATGTAAATTATTATAATCGTCGTTCATTTTATGCTAACAATCACATTAGTGATTATAACAATAATTTTATTTCTTTTTCTTTTAATTTTTCATTTATAGAATATATTCTTCCTTTTTTTTTGTTGCTATATTTCAATATAACTAGTAAGATTATGCTGTATGGTAAAATTTACCCAGAATTGTTGTTCTTACAAATTTTCCATCATAATATTCATGTAAATTATTATAATCGTTGTTCATTTTATGCTAACAATCACATTAGTGATTATATCAATAATTTTATTTCTTTTTCTTTTAATTTTTCATTTATAGAATATATTCTTCCTTTTTTTTGTTGCTATATTTCAATATAACTAGTAAGATTATGCTGTATGGTAAAATTTACCCAGAATTGTAAAGAGTGATATGCACAAAACTAAAGGAGTGAAATTAAGAACATGTAACATAAGAATACCTTTTTCTTCTTCATCCAAGATGTGCCCAAATTTGATACTCGGTAGCAATTGCAAGTCCTATCCGACCAATGGGCGGACAATTCCTTTATATTTAAAATTTGCTTCAAACCCCCCTTAATAGGCAAGACAAGGAAAATTTGGTACAATTTTTCTACTTTACTCTTGCTAAACACTCTCTAATATGGCTAAAGATTGAGAGTAATGACATTAATTTCCAGCGTCTTGTTTTTTTATTTGGCTTTCTAATCCCAACAAATTTTTGTTAGTCAGCAGCTGCACAATTACCTATTACATTTTAAACTTCTCCACCTGAAATCAGTAGGATGTTTCAACTCCAGGTTCAAAAGAATAAATATTATACTCCAGGTTCAAAAAAAATAAAAATAAAACGAGGCAAAACATTACCCATAAATTATACTTTAATGCAAGCAGAAACAAATATAAAAATTGAGGCCATTGAAGGATCAAAAGAATAAATATTGCACGCAAAACCACAACCGATTAGCAAAGCATTAACCATATAATTACGTCTTTGCGTGCATAATGAATAATGATCATGGTCTGGATGAGGATTTCCTTAGCACGAGACCACTATGCAGGCGAAAGGAGAAGTATTGCAAAACAACTTTGCCGTCGACTTGCAGAATATGATCCCTCACCACACAATTTGAAGGAGCAGTTTCCCAGCTTAGGAAATCCTTCCGTAGTCCTTTCTGCCACGAGACGCTGGTGGTGGAATGCTCGAGATGGGATGGTTGGCCCTACGCCCTACGGTATTATCAAATGTGAATATGAGTTAGATCAATCCATGACTAGTGGTGATAGATAGCAGTGCTCAAACAGTAGGTACAAGGGTTCAATGGAGCCAGGATTACCCCATGACATGCTACTGCCAAATGAACTGTTTCCTGTCCCGGAATTATAGCCGGAAGGAGGCGGCTGGACCTTCATAGGGTTCCAATCACTGCCTCTAACTGCAGCGATGGGTCTCCCGTGACTGTAACGCTGATGTTGCTGGCCCAAACGGCTTGGAGAACTTTGTGATGCATGAGGCATGAGATGTGAAGGTTTTGACACCAAATGAGAATATCCAGCATGTGCTGCATCAGATGGAACGCTGCCCATTTCTAAACGTGAAAATGATTGAAGAGGTCCATTTGGTCTAAAACAAAATCACACGATAAACAAAAATCAAACAACAAATAATGAACAAAAATGTGATCAATATAAAGATCTCCTTCCACAATACGCCCCTCCTCCAATCCTAAAGTATGAATATGAAGGGGAATCCCAAAACTGAGAAGTCAGTAGTTTCAATATTGTTATACTTGATCCATGATTTAGATGGAAATTTGTCGATACAAGTTCAGGATAATATCAGGGCATTTGCGATTTACTGAATATACAGGAACGTAGAAGCCAGACAGAAAATAATCAAAAATAAATCCTGGGATAAACGAGAGAACTCACCTTTGGCTTGTACCTGAGATGTGGCTGAATCTTCCTTGTTCAACCGAGGGTTCTGCAGAACCAAGGTCCATGGCTTTGCTGAACTCAGTAGCTATGCAGTTCAAGTCCGAACCATCTTCTTGCAAAAGAAGTTCGTCGCTAGAGCAGAAATATAGAATAGACATTACAAGAAAAAAAGAAAAGGGAAAAAGAAACGAGAATCACATATCACTAGTCCAACAAAAAGGTATTTAACACCATGCGAGGAACCCTGACGTATATTCTAAAACATGCCCATGGACATACCACCTATGAATATGTATCACCTATGAAAGACCACAGAATTAAAACAATTATTGTGTTACACCGAGAAAAAGATTCCTGGAGTTAACCAATTACAACTACTGAAGTTAAACTAGAAAATTTTTATATGTCATTCGGAATTAGAACAGATATAGGACTTTTACGGTTCATTAGCACCATGTGACCACATTAATAAACCAACAGCAAAAAATGGTCTTTACATACATGCAGTGAGCTTTACGGGGACTAATATCTCTCCCTGGTGCTTTATTTCCTCTGGACTAAGATTTTTATAAAATCTAAGAAAGAGAGTTAAAGACATGATCCAAGTGAGTCTGGGATTACATACTATGCAAATCAACTTTTTGTTCGTTCAACTTCAATACTCAGATGACTGGACCCCTAATACACCGAATCAAAATCATTACCACGTTGAAATTTGGTTCCTCCTAATGTTGCAGAAATTTAAAACTGGTTTGCTTGCACCCCCAACCAATAAGCTAATCCAAAATGGAAACATATATTGTTACAAAGAAAGCATGCATTAATGAATTAATATTATTCATAGTAGCAAAGAAATGCTGCAAACTTACCTATAATTGGGATCCCAATCCCCTGGATCAGGCAATGCCAGGCTATTCTCCTGCTTATCATGAGTCACTCCTGTGTGCGAATATTGCATATTGGAACCAAGGGCAAAGAAGCCCGGCACACTTTGAATGGCAGGGTAACCAGCAGAGATACCACTGCCTCCTCCATGATGCTTCCACCTTGCAGCATTTGAGTTTGAAAGCGGATGTGATGGCGAATTACCGAGCAGTTGCGAGTTCCCCTCAGTCTGGCTAGAGCTAGTGCCATCAGCAGATTGCCCTTGCCAATTTGTAGAAGAACTATCTTGAGAGTGAGAACCTCCAGGGTATGCCCAACCTTTTCTTCTGTTAAACTGGCTAACAGCTGCCATCTTCCCTAAAGGTGATCCATGACAACTGCCTCTTGCAGGAGAAGTTGGGCCGTAATGTCCCGGAGAACCAGCCGAAACTTGACCATAAGAGCTTGGTGGCGTAAATTGTGAAGGGCTAGTGCCAAGGGGCAATGGAGCAAAATTCCCTGCCGATGGACTTATGCCAATTCCATTTCCATGTGAATAATGAACAATCCTCCGTCTTGAATCGGGACTACTTCCGAGCACCGACACATTACCTGGTACATGCATGTTCATGCCAGACGGACCAACAGGCGAAAAATATGCATACATACTATTAGTATCTCCATAACTTCCATAACTGCTTCCTAGCCCTGTACTATCATTGTAGCTACCATAGCTTCCTATGCTGCCATAACTATTAGTATGTGCATATGGAACCACTTGGAAATGTGGGCTATTATGCATAGCAACCCTGTTCCTGCCTGGAATCTGCAAAGATGCAAGAAGCAATTCAGTGAGGGAAACTGTGGTATGGGTAATGGAGCAATACTGGGTGGAATACGTAAACCTAATCAAATAATGGAGTGCTTTGTAACATGACGTATTCAAAAAGAAATCCAGCTTACATTAGGAGAGAGACCAGCAGCAAACCAATGCCCTCCGCCGGGATGATGGTCCACCCTTATATTTTGAGCAACAGGCTAAGAAAGAAGAAAACGAAAGAGAACAAAACAATAAATATCTATCAAGCGAATAAAGAACTAAAGAGGTATGGATTGAGCAACTACCCATAAGTTGTCATCCTTCAAAAGATGAGGATGAAGCATAGAAGTATAACATAATTACTGATAACAACTCCGATAACAAAACAAGTAAAATGATTAATTTTCTAGAAATCACATGGGATCAACAGCTAAAAGCAATATTCATGCTGCACAAAAGTAGAACAGAACTGTAGATATATAAGGAGCATCAAGCAGAACAAATCTTTTTGAGGATAAATTCACCATGTTGTATTATCAACCAAGAAACTAATAAAGCACCTCGGAACGTGCAATATATGGATCCACTTACCAAGCGAGGAGTCTCCGGTGGAGGTTTGTATGGACATGTAAAAGGTTCCCCTGTTACAAAAGGGTGTTTTGAAGCCTGCGGACACATGAATTCACCTCTAAAAATTCATAGCAACAAACATTTTCATTACATCAGAAATAAAGTAACTTACAAGAGGAAAACTCAAAAATGGAGATCATTGAAAACCTGAAAAGGTGACCACCGTTTTGCAGGATCAAACTCCACAAGTCCCCTTAGAAAATCAATCAAAGCTAGACGAATTTGACTTTCTGCCACATATTTAATAAAAATTTCATCAGTGACTTCTTTAGAAATTTTAAACCTTACTAACGCTCATACATAAGTCTATTCTGTTAGGATACCTTTAATGATATCTTCCTTCGCCAAGTTCTTTCTGTAGGGGTAGTTGGTGACAATTGCTTCAAGGTTCATATGATTGAAATACTCTTTCCCGACAGATGGCTTTTTCAACTCTCTCTGAAAGAATCCGTTAACTAGAAGAGTTAGACAGTGATGTCATAAGACAGAACCTTCACATAAATAATTGAACAAAACGATGAGAAAAATTTTCAAGTCTACAGAAATTTTAAAGAAAGACTACTTAGAAATAGATGACTCAAACACTTCAAATTGGGATATCATCCTTTTTCCCCTTTAATTCATTGATTATCCTTCATTGAAAAAGATGGACGTCAAGACTTACAGCTTCATATTCTTCTTCTGTTAATGCTTGATAAGCACTTCTGATGCCTGCAGAAACTTCTCCATTTTCAATATTGTGGACGCTCCCAATGCACTTAAAAAACTTGTTTGTGTTTTTTGCTTCTTTAAGTAGATAATCAGGGGGTTGTCCTCTACAACATTACAAGTGTATGCAACAGGGCTTTAAAAAAATATGGAAAATGGAAGAAGAAAAATATACATAATTTTTATTTATTTTCAAGATAAGAAAAAGAAAGCAAAACAGAGGGGTAAAGGGGGGACAAGAGATCCACACCCAGGCAATGAGAAGCAAAGGAAAACAATGAGAAGAGTTTGTTCTCCTTCCGTAAATCCAACGTCTCTTTACCAAAATGCTAAGGCAAGACATATTCAAGGGCATAAAATAACCAATTTTTAATCAACTTCAGCAAGAGAACTCTCGTTTAACGGGTGGACCACTTTGCATGATCAGTTGATTGCTATAGTTCATATCACACATAAGACAGCCAATAATATCACACATGACACAGCCAATAGGCTCAACTTTCAACCATAAATATCTCCATATTGATTTAAAAAATCTTTTCAAATATCCCAGATTTCTGACGAGTGATTTCACGCTTGTTACATATGCAACATGATTTTTTTTTTTTAGGATAATACATATGCAACATGAATGTGTGAAGCTTTGTTCTTCAATTTCCTAAAATCTATACGTGTATTTCTCTGCATATATAATTTCTTTCATAATATGCATACTTATGCACTTCGAAGTGGAACGTAGCCAAAAGCAGAAGGAATTTGGTCAATCTGTATTATCCTTAAGACAAGTAGACAACATGTGCGCTCCCTAATAACTGAACCAGAAGATAGAGGCATACCCAAGTATCTCAATCATTCTCCTTAGAAGATCAAATTCTGAGGCTCCTGGGAATAATGGCAGACCTAAAAATAATTCAGCCACTATACATCCAAAGGACCACATATCTATAGTGGTACTATAACTGAAGAAATGTTAAGGACCAAACCAACATGATGGACCAAAAAAATGGCATAAATGGGGATCATAATCAACAAATCTCATACATTTAAAAAGGAAACGGGAAAAAAAACTTGTATCATTATTTGGTCATTATATTAACACATATCTTTTGCTTTACATCCCAGTATGGTAAGTAGCGTGCTAAATGAAGTCGACAATACGAAGGCAAGAAAGTATAGTGCAATTGAGCTGCTGGTTTTTGTCGTAAAGTATTGTCCCAGGGAAGAGAGGATTTGAAAAGGTCAACAAAAGGATTTGAAAAGGTCAACAAAAGGTTCGGATGGATTACTTAGTTCAAATGAAATGTTTACATGGTATTACATTGACCAAAATGTTTCTAGTTATCTTTCACGGTCCTCTAAAGATTCCAAACTTTACAAGCATTGAACTTGGGTTAAAAATAGTTACGTGAGATCCAAGTTTCAGGCCAACACAAAAGTTCAATGAAGAGAAAAAAAAAAAAAAAAAAGAAGAGAAATCAACAGAGAACAAATTAAGTTTTAGTTACAAGGATACTGATACCCAAGGAGAACTTCAGGAGATCTGTAGTATCGACTCTGCAGAAAAAGTAAAAAGCAAGCATTTAAAACTCTGCAAATTCAGCCAAAAAAAAAAAAACTCTGCAAGATAGAAATGAAACAAAATACTAAATTTTTACAGTAAACCTGAATGTACGAGTAAACAGTGCGGTCCTCCATGCATGCTGATCCAAAGTCAATAATTTTAATTTCTGCTGGCTTAACACTGTTGTTTTAAAGACAGGAGGCTGCAGTTTAACATAAGAAGATCTGCTAAAATAAAGGTTCGGAATGCATCATCATAAATAACTCACCCTGTGCACAAGAGTATGTTTTCTGGTTTCAGATCACAATGTATTATCCCGGCATCTTTTAAGAGAGCCAATCCATGCAGAATCTATTTTCAAAGAGAATAAAAGAGTTAGCACAAAACACCATGGTAAGAAGTAGAAAACACATAATCCATGTGTGAATGAAAAGAAAATGCAGTATTTTGGAAACTAGTATCAAACCTGTTTCGAAAACAACCGCACGATGCTCAGTGACAATCCCCTAAACTGATTCATCTTGATAAGCTCGTACCTGAAAGACTATAGAATGTTAAACCATATTGTACCAGACAAGAAACATCGTCATGCCACACACAAGTCCAAAGACGAGTAATTTACATAAACAAAACAACAACAACAATAATAATAATAATAATAATAATAATAATAATAATAATACTTCACAAAGCAACTGATTCATCTTGATAAGCTCGTACCTGAAAGACTATAGAATGTTAAACCATATTGTACCAGACAAGAAACATCGTCATGCCACACACAAGTCCAAAGACGAGTAATTTACATAAACAAAACAACAACAACAACAATAATAATAATAATAATAATAATAATAATAATAATAATAATTCAGCTCAAAGCTATTCATATTCTAAAGAGTTAATAGCTAGTAGCATTTGTGACTTACAAGTTTGAGTCAAGAAGTTCAAAGGAAATGCACAAATGACGTTGGTAAACAAAGTAATCGTATATACGAACAACGTGATGCTTATCCTCAGGATCATACTTCTTATTTAACTGCAAACGAGCAAACAGCAGTATATTTAATTAATTGATTAATTAAAAATGGGAAAGGAGAGGGAGAAAACGAAAAGTCGGGCGTACTGTAGTCAAAATAGAAACTTCAACCAAAGCCTGTTGATAGTAGGCGGTTTGATTTTTGATGATCTTGACAGCAACGAAGCTGCTGGTATCGGGAGCCCAGCATTTAGCAACCTGGCCAAAAGTTCCGTGGCCTAGAACGTCTTTGACAATATACCTCCGTTGCGTTTCCAAATTAATCAAGACATAGTTGACATTGAGAATGAGATCGGAGTTAACATTATCAAATCCGTCATTCAGGACTCCAATGGAGGGGGTGGTCAAATATCTCTTGGGATTCAATTCTTCGGAATACCTGAATTGCGGATTGCATATTTGGTATGTTTCAATTATGTCCTTGGTTAGTCTTGCCACCAACTGCATGCACGCACGAATCGAATCGAAATATGTCCATGAATACAAAGTAAAATAAAATAAAAAACTTGGCTTTGTTAGTGTTTGTTCTACTTGTTCAAATAACCAAAATGCTGCAGTTGTAAGAATAATGAATTAAATACGCAATGCATAATTGAAATTGAAATTCTAACTGCAAACTAGTCACTAGATGAAGGGAATTCTAGGAAATCTTCTTTTATATGTACTCGAATTGAAAATAGTGGATATGAACTCACAGGTCTTCTGACGACGACGCGAAGAGATTGAGATTTGGTTTGAGTTTGAGTTGGAGGCGAATACGGAGTGAATAGGAGGTGCTTGGGACGCCATCCGGAATCCGATTCCACCAAGTCCTCAGCACCGGAATCGGATTCAGCAACTCCACCGCCTCCATTACTGTTACTGTCGCTATTGCTATTACTATCCATCTCCATTACAAAAGAAAGCCCAGCCCTTTTCAATTTTTATTTATTTTTTATTATATGGAATACTTAACAAAATCATCAATCACCCCCACCGACTCCAATCCCATCATTCAATTTCAATTTCCTTCAATTCCCAAATTTTCAACTCTTCATATCTCAATATTACAATCCCAAAATCATCATATCACCCAATTCAATTACGAATTACAAATCACAATCGGCCATAAAACAACTAAATACCAATGAACCTGGACGGGAATTCAGCCCGATTCCGAATCAGACGCGGCACTCTGCTGAGATTCTGGGTTTGAGATTTAGGGCTCCACTTCTTCTTCTTCTTCAACTTCTTCTTCTTCTAAAAAAAAAAAAAAAAAAATCAATCGTTGTCTGGCTGTCTGTTTGTCTGTCCACCGTCTTTCTTCTTCTTCTTCTTCTTCTTCTTCCTATTCTTCTCCCAATGACGGACTCAGGACTTTTCTTTCTTTCCTTTTCCTTTTTCTTTCGTTTTTTATTTTTTTTATTTTATAAATTTTAGGACTAATTCTGTAGAGGAAATTTTTATTTTTATTTTTTCGTTGCCCTTTTTTTAAAAAAAAAAAAATCTTTTTATTCTTTTTTGGTCTCCTATTCTCTATTAGCAGCTGCAGCCTTTTCAGGCTTGGGCCTGGGCTTGTAAATAATAAAGGATCAAGCGTTAGATTACGCCCCATGCCACATGTTACCTATGAAAAAAAAAAAAAAAAATCTCCCCACACACAAATACCAAATTTATAAAATAAAATAAAGTAAATAACAGATTTAAAATTATTTGGAAGTAGAGAGTAGTTTATTGTGTAAATATTTCTTATACTATTGATGAAAAATAATTTACATAATAAAAAATCTTTTTAATAATTGTAAAAAGAAATTTAAGTGAAAATTCTTTTTACTAGTCGTAATAACTATTATTTACTTTAAATAATTTTAAATTATATTATTACTTAATTTAATTTTATAAATTTACTATTTACTACATTATTTTAATGCTGGAAAATGTTTCGCATCTTACACGATGGATTTTAAATAAAAATAAGGCTTTTTATATGGATACCTCATAAATTTATCGCGTTTGGCAAATTAATTCATGAGTTTAAAGTTTTTACAATAAACCCAATGTATTATGTAGTAGTTCTAATTGAAAATGAAGTTAAATTTTTACAGTTTTTTTTACACGTGTGACGTGACTGAAACTTAAAAGATTTATTTTTTACTGTAATGGAATCATATATGAACAAAATTCGTTCCCTTGCAGTGTTGGTTATCCTTGGATTTATGATGAAGAGTCACTCCGTCCATGATGATTGAAAAATAGGGAGTCAAAAGGTGCTGAAAAAGAACACTGTTGATCGCCACCCACTTTGGTAGAGTAATTAAGGACGGTTATCGAATAAAAAAGAGCACCATTGATCACCACTTTCGTGTTTGGTTTTGCGATGGGGCGGAGGATAAAATGAATTATTTGTTAATCTAGAGTTTTATTTTCAAAATGATAGCGCTGTTCCTTTCACAAAAAAAAAAGAGTATTGGGATATTTTGATTTGGAGTTATTTGGGAGATTTTTCGCTTTGTGGGTTATCACAGAGGTGAGCAAAATAACAGGTTAATTAATCGCAACATTTGTTACTTGGAAATACATGTTGGTACCCCAGTGTTTCTGAAATCCTATTAGGGTATTCTTTTTTCTTTTTTTTTTTTTAATGTAAAAAAGGGGTTAATAATGCTGTAGGTCCTTGAATTCTAGGATGTGACAATTTGTCCCGAAACTAATTTTATGAGTAAAAATTTCCTTCAATTAAATATCAACAGCAAAGTCTCAATCTGTTAAATCCATTAAATTTTTAACGGATTTTGTCTGGCACGTGACTCTTTTTTTAAAAAATAATTAAAATACTCAAAATATTTTTAACCATTAATCGTGATGTTTTAATTTTGGAAAGTTCTCTAGGACCGTTAAAAATGATCTATTTATAATTCTTTAAAATTGTGCTTGATTATGTTTTTGACAGATTGTAAGATATTTTCTGAAAAACGTTTATTAGAAAATAATGAAAATTTTAAAACGACTTTCAACCTTTTTATGAGGTCACTATTTCTTGATTAATGTCATTTTGACTAATATAAATATTTAATTTAAAATGATATTAATTAAAAGTAAAAGGTAAAAATTTAGACTTATACACTCTAAAAAATATTTGTCTCTTTTTCTCTTAACAAAAACCATTCTCACTATTTTTTTTTCTTATTTTCAAAGAATTTCTAATCAAACGTTATTTATAAAACATTTTCGTTTTTTACGCTTCAAAAGACGTACATAAGCATTTTTGGAATGTATTGTCCAACTAGGGCTGACAAATTTAGACACGACACGATAAAATGACATGAAAACGACACGAGATAAATGGATTTGGACCGCACGATTATTAATTGGATCGTTAACGGGCTAGCACGACTAACACGAAAATAAATGGGCTGGATTCGTGCCAGCTCGTTTAACACGTTTAATTAAATGTGCCATTATCGGGCCGACACGGCACGACCCGGACTGACCCGTTTAATATGCCCAAATATATATATATATATATTTAGACAAAGGCCTAAGTCTAAGTGTCTAACTCCTGCTCTCCCCGTGCGGCCGTTCCTGACTCCCTGCCTCAATTCTCTCTCTTATTCTCTCGAGTCTCATCTCCTGGTCTCTCAAGTCTCACCCGCCACCTGCCTCAGTCCTCAGTCCTCACCCACTTCAGTCCTCACCGGCCACCGCCTCAGTCCTCAGTCATCACCCGCCGG